GGTTCCTGCTTCCACAAATTTTCTCAAGTAGCAACTGTCTGTTATCTAACAATGATCGAATAAAGTGATATCTGATCCGAATGTGCATGGTCCTGGATTGAAATGCTGGATTTCTAGCGAGGAATATGACTCTCTAACAATCACTGTAGAGAGTGCCCTTTTGAACCTCCTTACCCAATTCCTCCAAGAAACTTTGCAGCCATATCATCTTCTTAGCAGCTTCTGATATTGCAACATGCTCAGCTTCTGTAGTGGACAAAGAAACTGTCTTCCGTAGATTTGAGCCTAATGACACTGTAGTACCACCAAAAGTATAAACATAACATGTAGTACTCTTCCTACTGTCAATGTCTCCAGCTAAATCTACATCAACATAACTATATACCTCCAGACTCTTTCCTAAGAAACACAAGCAGGTTTTTGAAGAGCCTCTTAGGTATCTCAAGATCCACTTCACAACTTCCCAATGTTCCTTCCATGGATTACTCGTGTATCTGCTTACAACTCCCACTGTATGGGCAATGTCCGGTCTGGTGCAGACCTTAGCATACATAAGTGAACCAATCGTTGAAGCGTAAGGAACCTTAGTCATGTGGTCTTGTTCCTCATTTGACTTGGGTAACTGATTTTTGCTGAGTTTGAAGTGACTGCCCAAAAGTGTGTCAACTGGTTTGGCCTGATCCATATTGCACATGTTGACTACCTTTTTCACATATTCAGTTTGTGAATGCCTCAACGCGCCCTTGACTCTGTCGCTGATAATCCTCATGCCAAGGATTTTTTTTGCCGCTTCCAAATCCTTCATTGCAAAGTGCTATGACATCTGCTTCTTCAGATTATTGATCTCATCAATGTTGTCCCCTGCAATAAGCACATCATCCACGTACAATAGTATGATGATATAAGAGTTGTCAAAGTGTCTGGCATATCAACAGTGATTTGCCTGACATCTGTTGTACCATGCATTGAACATGAATTTATCAAACTCCTTGTACCACTGTCTAGGAGCTTGTTTCAGGCCATACAGGTTATTCTTCAGTATGCAAACTGAATCTTATTTTCCTAGTACCACGAACCAGGTTGGCGCATGTAGATGTTTTTTTCAAGTTCTCCATGAAGAAAAGTTGTCTTTACATCTAATTTCTCCATAAATAGATCTTTGGTGACAACCATATCTAGTGTCATCCTAATGGTTGTGAGCTTTACCACAGGAGAAAAAATCTCGAAGTAATCAATACTCTACCTCTGCTGAAAGTCTTTTAACTTTTATTGTCATCAAACTCAGTTTTCACCTGGTATACTCACTTATTATGCAATGTCTTCTTCCATAGTGGAAGTTCTGTTAGCTCCCATTTATGATTTCCCAACAGGGAATCCATCTTCTCCTTCATGGCCAGCTCCCACTAGCTAGAATTTTTCTTTGTCAATGTTTCTTTATAGCTCTGTGGTTCTCCATTATCTGTCAGCAAGATGTAGTTCAGAGTTGGTGAGTAATGTTGTGGTGAATGCCTGCTCCGGATTGACTTGCGAACGGTTGCTGGGGTAGTGGATGACTCTGAAACTGACTGCGGAATAATAAGAATGGGTGCCCCAGACCCATTCTCATCGTCATTCACTTCTCCACCCTGTGCTGTGACATCTGGTAGATCGTCAAACCTCATGAGCTCCGATTCTTGAGGAGTTGCTTCATAATTTGTACAAGTTTTGTCTTTGTACATCATCTTCTCATTAAAGATCACATTTTTGTTTCTGATAATCTTTCGATCATGATCATCCCAGAAACGATAACCAAATGTTTCGTCACCAAAGCCAATAAAATAACATTTCTTTCATTTAGCCTCAAGTTTGTTACGAGCATCAAGATTGTTTAGAACATAAGAAAAACAACCAAAAGTTTTAACATTAGAAAGTTTGGCCTCTTTGCCGCTCCAGAATTCCTCAGGTAATTCATAGTCTAATGAGACGGATGACCCTCTGTTGATCAAGTAAACTGCAATGCTGACCGCATCTGCTCAGAAAGTTGGTGGTAGTCCGACATGCAATCTCATGCTCCTGACATGCTCATTGATGGTCCTGTTCATACGCTCTACAATTCCAATTTGTTGTGGTATCCCCAGAATAGTCTTCTTCATTCTAATACCCTGAGCTGCACAATACTCCTTGAACCCACCATCGATGTACTCACCGCCATTGTCATACCTTAGCCATTATCATACCTTAAACATTTCAGTTTTAGATCTGTCTCTGTCTCAACTATGGTCTTCCAAGTTTTGAACACAACAAAGACGTCAGATTTATGCTTCAGAAAGTAAACTCATACATTTCAGTTGCGGTCATCTATGAACGTGACATAGTAGCGAGAGCCTCCAAGAGATGTCACTGGGGAAGGTCCCCACACATCAGTGTGTGCAAGTTCTAGTTTTCCTGTCTTTGACACTGCCACCTTTCAAGAAGTTGACCTTCTTCGGGTTCCCCATAATGCAACTTTCACACATGCCAAGATCAACTGTCTTCAGCTCTGACAGCTTGTCTCTGGACTGAAGCTCTTTCATACCTCTCTCAAGATCAACTGTCTTCAGCTCTGACAGCTTGTCTATGGACTGAAGCTCTTTCATACCTCTCTAACTCATGTGTTTGAGCCTACAATGTCACATGTCTGTTGTGCTCTCTGCAACTGTAGTATCAACACTATTAATTAAACCAGTAATCATATATAGCGTACCGGTCTTCTTACCCCGAGCCGGTATCAGTGCTCTTTTGGTAACCTTCCAGGTGTTATCAGAGAACAATATTGAATGACCACCCTCATCTAGCTACCCAAAAGAAATGAGGTTCTTCTTCAGTTCAGGAATGTGTCTGACCTTTTGCAGATTATATTTGTTCTTGTTAGGGAGTGCAATATCAACGTCTCTCATCCCCACCACATTCAAAGCTTCTCTATCAGTCAAATACACATTCCTAAAGTCACCTGCAACATAGTTTCACATTAACTTTAGGTGGAAAGATGTATGGAAAGAAGCCCCTGAGTCCAATATCCAATCTTCAACAGAGCTGCGAACTGCAAGCAATAGTGCATCCTGCACTTTTTCAGTTATAGCATTAGACTGACGTTCTCCGTCTTCTTAGAATTTTTGCAGTTTTTTATGTGGTCAGTTTTGCCACAATTACAGCATGTTGCTTGCTGACCAGGCTTTGAATTGCTCTTGTTTTTGTGTTTTGATTTTGACCTTCCTTTGTTTCATGTGATCTCCCTCTGGAATCAACATTCAGTGCTGAACTCGAACCCGAGGCATCACTAGAATCTTTCTCGCGCACCTCCTGAAGCCAAAATTAAATCACGAATATCATCATATTTCAGCTTAATTTTACATGCAGAGTTGCTAACTGTCATCCTCATAGCTTCCTAGTTATTTGGCAATAACGCCAACAGTATCAACGCACGTTTCTCATCATCAAAATTAATTTGAACAGACGATAATTGATTTGAGATAGTATTGAAATCATTCAGGTGTAGGGACGACAGACACATCTTCCGCTATCTTAAGGTCGAATAACTTTTTCATAAAGTGCACCTTGTTATTCACGGATGACTTTTCATACATACTTGATAAGGCTGTCATTAGAGTTGCAGTCGTCCTCTCTTTGATGATGTTGTGGGCAACGAATCTCGACTGGGTTAATCGAATAACCCTCATAACTTGTCAATCCAACAGATTCCAATCAGTGTCTCTTCCATATTCTCCGGTCATTTTCCCAGTAATAGAAGATGAAATTTCTTCCCAGATGTATTCCTCTATCTGCATCCTCCAGTAACCAAAATCCGTGCCATCAAACTTCTCGATCCCCGAAACCTTTACTTCGTCTCCAACCAACGTCTTCCTTATATCCTGAACCGTGGCTCTGATATCAGTTGTTGTAAAAAAATGACGACGAAAAATGAAAAAAAAAATTGGGACGAGAAAAACATACTAGAAAAAGGCGTCACACAAATTTATGTTGTTCGACAATTTTGTTTACATCTACTGAGTTGCAGAAGATTTTATTACTTCGATGAATTATACTATCGAGTGTCTCCACGTTTACAAGAAAACCTCACTCTTCCTCTCTCTCTCCTCACCCCTCTCTCTCTAAATGAGTTACAACCAAAAGAAAAAGGTAAAACAAAGGGAATCCCGTGAGTCACCTTGCACAAGAATCCAAGGAAGAAAAAGACTTTTCTTTTCTTCTTTTCCCAGCTGTGGGTTGTAGAGGGGTTTTGGTAGAGATTTGCTTGGCCCTTATATAAGAAGCAAAAAAAAAGCTAAATAAGGAAACTCGTTTCCGCGTGAGTGATGGCGGGACCGCGTGGAGAGAGGCGGGATCGCGTGGAGAGAGACGGGAGACTTTGGCAGGATCCATAGGAGGTAATCCAACAATGAAGATTAAAAAAAATTAAGGAATAATCAATTTGTCATAATTGATTATGTGGACCAGGTTCCACCACTTTAACAACTAGGGCTGTAGACGAGCAGAGCTTGAGCGAGCTCAGGCTTGGCTCATGTTAGGCTTATTCGAAATTGCTTGAGTTTGAATTTGGCTCGTGTTTGAAATTGGCTCGTGAAGATTGTATTCGTGTTCGACTTGATTTAAATATTCTTATTCACGTTCGACTTGTGTTCAACTCGAAATTGGCTCATTAAAATTAATTGGAAAAAATAAATGTAAAGTGTTGAATTCAAGCATGAACCAAATATATGTGAAAAAAGGTATATAACTACATTACCACACAAGCTCTTATGTTTTAAACTTAAATATATATATATATATATTAATAATTATATTATTTTTTTTATTTCGAGTTAAAACGAGTCGAACACGAGAGAACAAAGAGCTGTTCGTGTTCGGCTTGTTTACTTAACAAATGAGCCCAACACCAGTTGTTCGCGAACAACGAGCTTTTTTGACAGCCTTATATGTTACTCAAAAAAGAAAACTAGTTATATTGTGATTGGATAACGGTACAATGGAAGCTGAGTTTACATATGAACAGAACCAGTTATAAAAACAGTAGAATATTACAGGTGGGAGCTGAGGCAGGCAGAAATATAATAATGATCACATCAGAATATATCTTCTTCTAAAATCAACAGCATCAGGTCACAGGAGAAACAAAGTCATCACCTTCAATCATTTAGATAAACAGGCCAAGGAACTTGCAAGTGATGGTTGTTCAGTTGGGACCCACATCATAAAGCAACCAATTACTTTTTAAATTATTTTTGATATTTTGATGAATTTTATTCTGCTACCACATGGCAGAAAATATTCATTATAATCATAGAGCTTTAAGGAACAAAATGGGCATCAGTCATCAAAGTACTCTTCAGGTCTACAACTCTTATCTATAATATCTTTATGGGAAATCTGCATACTTCCCACAATGCATTTACTTACATATCTGATGCCGAAATTTTGATATTTAAGCTTTTACCAATAATAAATAAATTTAATAATAAAACACAAGTATTTCATTCATCTATAAAACATAGTATTGAAGACGACGCCCTAAATAACCCTTTAAAGGCAAGATTTAGGGCCTTTTTGGGGTAACTTATTTGATGCATTGCATTTCAAATGCACCCGAGCCCATTTGGGTAAAGTGTGTTTTGGCATCCTATTCAAAATGTTGCATTTTCAAAACGATGAAATTAATATTTTCACATCATTCATGCCTAGTCGCTTTCTAGTTGCGGTTAAGCTTTTCCAAAAAAAACAAAAAAAAATGTAAGAGCCACCACAAATTTTTTTAACAGCTTATCGACAACTTATCAACCGCTTATTAATAAGCAGCTGCTGCCTCAAACAGACCCTTAAGTCGCAAAAAAAAATAATAATAATAGAGATTAATTTTGTATAATTGTACTTTCGTATAGAATATGTAGGAAAATATGTGCTTAAAATGTGGACAACCGAAAGCATGATAAAGAAGTTAATAACACTATTTTGACTTTTAGAAATGAAATATATCATTCATCCACAAAAAATTACATGTTTAATATGTAAATACATAAAAATTTAGAGATGATCTTATTAGTTTTTGGGATTTGATGGGGATTATAATTTGTCTCATTAGGAGGGTCTTGAATAGATTATACAAACACCATCAACATGAAACCATATAAATCTATTTTCAAATATTTATGAGTTAGAAAGAATCCTAATCTACATACATTTAGCACTTTAGCAACAGTGAGCATATTTATTTATTTGGGTCTATTATATTAATAAAAATTTTCTTATTTGGACAATGACTAACCATAGCATTAGCATCGATGGAATCATCATCCTAAACTCTATAAAGATATCTATGAATCCACATAAATCAACAATGGAGTAGTTGCACAAACAGATCTTCCCACTCATTCCTGAAAAACAAGGCATACATGGCTGGGCTCATATTATTGGCTGATATCTGAGCTAATACGAGCTTCAAACAAAATATTATTTATTTATTTATTTATAATAAACTCGTTCCATCTATGACTTCAAAGGAGGAAATGTAAGTCTCTCTATCTCTCGTTTTCATATCACAATTCTTATGAATTTACATATCTAACACCTAAAGTTTAATTGTTGCTATAACATTTTCATATTAAAAATATATGCATGAAAAGATTATTTTATTTTTAAAAAGTTAAAGATGGTGACATCTTTGGTGTATGTCAAAGATTTGACCGTAAAGAATGAAAATGTAAAAGTTTGGATGTTAGATATGTAAATATTTAAGAATTGTGTGGTATGCATGTAAATACACCATTATTTTATAAATTACTGGTTAATGATGATGGTGAAAATAGAATTAATTTTAGTAATCTTAAAATTTTAAATAACAACAAAACTTTTCATTTTAATCTTCGCTTACAAGTTGAGAAATTTTTTAGCTTTTAAAACTTTTTAATATTCTTTTAAAAGCTAATAGGATGTTTGATGAGCGAAGAAAGAAGGGTTCATTGGTTTCTATTTTTAATAATATATACGATAAAAAAGTGCAAATTATAGAAAAATTAAATAAATGTGTCATACACTAAAGTTATGATATATGGAAGAGATGAATTGAACATGAGTTGAGGTGTGATGTAAAAAATTCTCGAAATCAGCTTGGATTCATGTCGGGCAAAATTTATTATGTAAGCTAAACATTTATTGAAACGTTTGATGGATAATGATAGAGAGAAGGAGGATCTACATATAATTTTTATTGATTTAAAAAAAAAACTATGGCATATTTCAAAGAGAAATAATTTGAAGAGTTGTAGAAAAGAAAGATATTGATATTTCTTATATTCAAGTCATTGAGGATACACATACTAGAATGTCATTGGTGTTCAAACAAAAGGAGGATTGGCAAAGTATTTTTTTTATTTCCATTGGATTACATGAGATATCAACTTTAAGGCTATATTGATTTACTTTAGTTAGGAATGTACTTGATGGACATTAAGAGGATACACGTTGGTGTAATGCTTTTCACCGATGATATTCTTCATGTGGATAAGAAGGGAGAGAGTGATCAGAAAAAAACTTGAATTATAAAGGTCAACTTTACAGTCTAAAAGCTTTCATTTGAGTAGAACAAAAAAAGAATACATGAAATGTAATTTTAATAATAATAGATCTAGTGGTGAAATTGTAACAATGGGTGATTAAATGATTAAAAGTGAGGGTAATATAGATGGAGATGTTAATAGTAGAATTCAAGTTGGATGACTGAAATGGAGGAATGCATCGAGCCTTTTGTGTGATAGAAATGAACAGCTTAGACTTAAAAATAAAATTTTATAAGATGGTGGCGAGAAGTGCAATGCTTTATGGTACAAAATATTGCCCTGTAAAAGGGAAGTATAAAATTAAGTGTAGTTAAGACGAGAATGCTCAGGTGGACGAGTGACTTTACATTTAGAGACAAAATGCGAAATGAATATATCAGTGCAAGAGTTGGAGTAGCTCCAGTGGAAGACAAAAATGGAGAGAGTCATCTTGGATAGTTTGGTCACATTAAATGTAGGACATCTGGGACCCTGTTAGGAGATGTTTTAGATTTGACTTATGTGATGTAAAACTTCTTGTTGTTATTGTTGTAAATAACATTCAATGCTACATGATAAAATAAATTTTCAAAGGACAAGAAGCATAAGAACCTCCCTTACCGGCACATCTGTGGCATATCTTTCCATGGCTTACCAGCAGACAATTCAAATCAAACTTCAACTCATTGGGGATCCTCTTATTAAGGTGAAGATATGCCTTCTCTCTGTCTGCCTTCATGGGCACCCAACCAATAGATTTTGTGATTCGAAAAACCTGCAAAAATTTTTGAAATTTTTTTTTTTTCATTTTAATCTATATTAGGAAAAATAAAAAAAATTAGTATAAATTATGGTAAAATCCACTCACGTGGGTATCCACAGGGAAATCTTCTTGCTGAAGATGGAACATAAGAACACATGCCACCTGTTATTATTTTATCAGAAATGGCTAAATCATAAGCTGGTGTGTCCAAAATGTAATAAGTACACCACTTGCTATGAAAAATAAATTCAATACAAGCAAATGTCACATTTATGTCGAATCCATGTGCTGAAGATTTTCTCAGACAGCCTATAAATTTCAAAATTAGAGTCTTGTTCAAATTTGTTCATTTACTTTCTTATCCAGTTCCAGATACAGTTGAATATAACCCCGAGTTTTAATGTACAAATTGAAAAATTAAAAATAAATAAAATGATAAAAAATGTATAAAGTCGGCTTATTAGTTAAAATTTAACTTGCTTGCCGCCTTGTATTGCTATTTGTTGTTAATATTTGATTGAATATGCCATAAGTATTTTTTTGGGGCATTTAATACAACTCAATTCTTATGTATTTATATATCTAACAATTAAACTCTATTTTTGACATTTATATGTACTTTACCTTTTAAAAAATGAAATACATCTTTTTCACGCATAAGAAATACTAAATATATAAATAGAAGCAAAATTTAGGTGATAGAAATGTAAATACATAGGAATCAAGCGGTATGTATGTAAATCTTTCAAGTTTCTTTAGTTTGCGTGATAGATTTCCATATAGGTTATTGCATATATGCATTGTAGTGTTTTCTCAATAGTATATTAGTGCTTCAGTTAACCCAAATGCACTTTATTTGTGCTATGAGCATCAAAGCAAGAAAATATCATCATACTTTGCACTCATACTATTGGTACTATATGGCTATCTCAACATAGTTAAAGAATCACGTTGGAGATAGATACATCATAGCAATATCCTTGATGAAGACTAGGTTGGGTTGCCCAAGAGGCTTTGATGACGTGATCATGTACACCAAAGAGAACTCAAGTTGATGCAACAAGTGGTTAAAGAGACTCAATTAGGACCCACGCCTTTGGCATCTTCGCATCACGCATTAATGACTATTAATTAGGCCCTAAAAAAACTATATTTAAGAGTAAAATATCACATTATCGGAGTCCAAGATTCAGTGAAATTGACATGGGGAGAGAAGGGGCAGGGGATTAGACCAACTTTTAATCTGTTACAAAGAGTAGAACATTGACATGGGGAGAGAAGGGACAGGGGATTAGACCAACTTTTAATCTGTTACAAAGAGATAGATGGGAAAACAATAGAGAATAGAGATTAGACCAACTTTGTTTCCCTTAGAAGAATATGACGCAAGATGATGTTCACAAAAGAGAATAAAAGCTAACTATACATTCCAAATGTGACATCAGTTACTCCTTAGAAGAAATTACCTACATATGACATAATAAGTGGCTACAAGAGATTCAGTCAGGATTACTCAGAGCTTTTGAACTATCTTTGACTACAAATAGGGCCCATGATCGTTGTCATTTGGATGTATAGTATCACATTATTTGCTTCAAAAATTTTAATCATAATAAAAATTCATAAATATGACTAAATAAAGAAAAAAATAGATGATAAAATATAATATAATCTTATGTCTAAATAAGGGATTGGATTGCCCACTAATCTTTTTATTATGCCTCATTCTTCTTTCAGAATTCACTAAAATCTTTGCAATTTCAATAAAAATTCCTCAAACTATACCACCAGCTTGGCACTTTATAGCATCAAAACTAGTGGCTTCATTGAGATTGATGGAAAAAAGGAGAGCAACTAAACTGAAACTAGGCTTCTCACAACACTATTATGAAATATCATACCTCCAACCTCAAATAATAACTCACTAGCTCATCGCCAATGAACAAATTTAGTAGCATTTGGCTGACCTCAAGGATCTCACTTAGATTCCCTAGTTCAGTCAATCACTAATATGATAGGCATGTCCATAATTATTATGTACACTATAATTGATCAACAAGCTTAAGAATAGAGATTCTTTTCTTCAAAAATAATTTCCAATGAGATCAGTTGAAATAAATTCATATGTTTATTCAAAGGAGAACCATTTTCAAAAGCAGCTTAGCCAGTAAGTCTCCAAAACAGCTTAGCCAAGCATAATTTTTAAGTTAATGTGAGCTAAAATCCTGCTACATTCATATGGAAGGAGGGGGACATTTTTTCATTATTGTTAGCCTTGATCTCGATATATATTAAGCCGCTTGGCCCCCACCCTAAATTTCTTTTGATGGGATGCTCTTTCTTGAACACCTCAAAAAGGTGCGGCCTTTATCAATATTTTCAACCAAAAAAAAAAAAAGTACACAATGGCTTTAGCCAGCAAAATAAAAAATGCAGGGTTATAAAATATTCGGTGATTATAGCTACTAGAAGGATTTCACTATCTATTTCATGATAAAGTCATCACTTTGTCTACTTAAGGTCGATTGCAAGATCTAGTATCTCTTATGTTAATTATGAGCATTTAACCCCAAAAAATGAACACTGTGAAATTCTAAATGTGACACAAGAGAAGTACAAATAAAAAAACATATTAACTTTTTTCAAATCTGAATCCTACATTAATCCATTCTTTTGTTTCTTAGTCCGCCACATTAGTTTAATAAGTTGATTTCAAGTAAAGGAGTGATCATTAGTTCACTTGAAAGAGTGACTTCCTTGATTACATACCTTGACTTTGAAGGTCTTATAAATCAACAACTAGTTTTTTGAATATAAAAGATTGTTAAACACCACCTAAATGGCTATTTATTGAATAATTAATATTTAAATAAGTCTCAATCAGCATCACAGATTTCATTTGCTTTGTCGAGAGTGAGTTTCTACGTAAGTCCTTTCATAAAGGGGTTTTCCCTTTCCAATTTGTCTATTTTTGTTGTGCACTTTTTAATTCAGGGACATCACCCTTCTACAAAGAAATTTGACCAAGCGTTTATCCAGATCTCAATAACCAAATTGCCCCACAGAGGGTAATAATCAGTAGTATGCTCATGCTTCATTATGTGGATAACCAACTAGGAATGTCGGATCAGTGAAACTACCACCCCTTGATATATCAAACTGTTGAATGGCTCTAGATAATATATGAATCTGCAACAAAATTTTCAATATAATGTTAAATCTGAAGAAAGAACTTTGTCCTCCTAATAAAGGAATTATTATGTAGACATGTACTAACACTTTGCTTTGCTTTTTAGTGAAGATGAAAGGTTGAAATACCAAAAATTAAAGAGCTAAAACTGCAGCCACGGGGGTTCACAAAGAAATTATCAGAGTCAATGTCTAACGACCTTCCTACAAAATTCATCACCGAGGATCCTAAGGATGTTCATCCACTATGAAATTCAACAAGAAGACAGTTGTGATGGAGGTTCTAACCAAGAGGATAACAATTAATTTCAAACAAAGAGTGTTTTGATTATTGTAACACGAAACAACGACAAAGGATTCTTCAACTAGATTGTGTCATGTGTTTAAATGACCATGACCTTTTGTTTTTATAAGGAAATAATTAATTAGAACAATATGGGATTGATAAGTTAATTAATCAAGATCTTCAAAGGTTTTAACTAATTATAAAAAAAGGAATTCATGATTAGGATGTTGATCAGTAATTAGCCTTATGCCCTATCGTGTTGACATTGAGATTTGACAGAGTAACATAGGTGTTCATTTTAGGAAGAATATGTTCACTTTATTGAATTGTCTTCCTTTTGAGCAGGCAAAATCTAAGTGTAGGCCAATCAATCTACAATATCAATAATCAATTCTCAATCTTTAGTCGAGTCTTCTTGACAAGCGAGGCCTACAAATGGGAATTAAACTCATTTCCCAACAATTTAATGTGTTACACTCTTGTCACAGGGAGAAGGTCAATCATCTAGTTGCATCCTAGATAAATTTTATCACCATGTTACCCTCTTCTAATCAATGCCTTAGGATGGTCTCCTCTTAAGCCACATTTATGCTAGAGTTTTAAGTAAATCCAAGCATATCAATAACTCAAATCCTTGCCACTGTTCTTAGATGCCATGAAATTTCTATAATTAAAGTTTATAAATTAAATATAAATCATAACATGTTGTTTGACATCTGAATTTAAGCAAGATCTAGCTTAAATCTTGCCAAAAAAAACTTGGGCATTTTAAATCCTGTAATTTTGATGAAAACTCATTTCAATCCCTTTGCTGGTTAATTTAGAGGTTGTTTGGTTTGCCCAAAAATAATAGTGCAAAAGTGTAAATGCCACTTTATGTTGTTTGGTTTGCAAAATTTTTATCTTATATTTAGAATACTTTAAAATTGTTTGATTTAGTGTAAAATAAATATAGAACTTTACATTTTTTTTATTTGATTTGAAAAAAAAAATTTAAGATAAAATACATTTGTCAATGACTGCAACGAAAGCTATGTTGGAGCTAGTAATAGCGGTGGCGATTAGATGGGGCAACGACCAAGGGTGGCGGCGGCAGGCGACGATGGCGATGGCAGCAGCGGTGATAGTGGTCGATGGCAATGGCAGGGATGGAAGTGGTTATTGGCAGCGGCTATGGTAGGGCCAATGGCAGTGGTAGGTAGGAGCGTCGGCGTGGTGGTTGCAGCGGGTGCGGTGACCACCACCATTTACAATACATCTGAAAATCACCCAAATCTGATGAATGTCTAATACACTTAAAATGAACTACTTGCAGGATTTGAAATTCGCCTCAATTTTACACCAGACCCTTTTTCATCTGACAAACAAATACAGCAGACTACATTTTTAGCTAACCAAACAGCCCCTAGGGCTTATTAAGGGCCCGTATGGAGAAGCTTATAAGTGCGGGTGGCGTTTTGAAAACGCCGCCATACCGTTTGGTTCGCACTTATTGACAGATTATTTAAAAACGCGTTTTTGATTTTCTAAAACACGCGTACCACGGGCTGACCCCCGCGGTCCGCGTTTCGCGATTATTTTTTCCGCATTAACCCTGATGGATCGCTACCCGTGACATTGCCTTTTTCCTTTTTCCTTGGCCTCTTCCGCGACCTCTCTCGATTGTTCGAAGCCGTATCTTCCTCCACG